ATGCAGGTAACTGACTAAAAATTTTAAATTTACGCATAGCCATAAAAAAATCTGCACAAAGGTTGATATCAATCCGTTACAACCACCATGGAATGAAAAACAAAAAGTGTATAACCAAAAAGGTTACCTATTCCCCTTGTAAAAATAAAAAAACAGAAAAATGGTTCTCAGCTGTTTGAATACCAAACCAGAAAAAAAAATCAGCATTTAGAATCAAAATCAGAACCACATGAAATATGGCCAAGGCACAACCAAACTGGTATCCATTATCTCTCCTTCAAAAGTATATCCCTGTTGAAATTCCTCACCCTGAAGTTAATTATATACGAAAGAAAAAGAAGGATTTCGTTGATCCTAGTCTTATAAGTTTGTTTCCATTCAAATTGATCAATAACTTTTCAACAATTGCTTGTTTCTTCTTCCATAGGAAAATGTAAATGCCCATTCTCTGCAGCTATTCATAAACATATTGCCAAAATTTAAAAAGAAAAAAAGAGGACATTGTTATGCAAGTTTTGACATGGATAAGGACCAGCTAAAATTAGTACCCTAAACCATAAAAAAAGTAAGAAATAGTAGAAATTCCACTTTTCAGCTAGACCAACCAATTCAAACGAGTCCCTGATTAAGACCCATTACCCATACTGACAGTTGACACAAATAATTATCAGTTTATTGTTTCCTCACCTTTTCTCAGTTACTCCAACAAGGTTACTAAAATCAACATAGAACTAATAAATATAATGAATTAAAAAAGAATATTATAGAAAGGAAAAAACAAAGAGTTATTCCCAGTTAGGCTATTACAGGGCACAAGAGGACCAACATTTCCATTGGCTTCGTTGCGTTTTCAACAAATTGGACAAATACCTAAAGAGAATAGCAGTACCTGTATTTCTTTATAGATTCTTTGTAAAGCTCACGGATATCTTGCATAGCCTCATCCTTAGAATATTTGGGTTTGAATTTGGGTGGACCTCGCAGTCTTGAAACAGGGTTGCATGTCACAACTACAACTGTGTCGGTATATGGAATATACAAGTACTTGATATGCTTATTCTGAGATAACATCTTCCTACAAGCAAAGAGGTAAGATGCTTTTAATGTTTGAGAATCCAGTATATGGAATGTACAAGTACTTCACGTGCTTACATTCAGACAACATCTTCCTACAAGAAAAGAGGTATAAAGCTCACAATGTTTGAGAATCAAATTCTTCATTCTTTGGTTTATGAACAGGAATATACAAGTACAAACAGCATTGCCATAAGATAATTATAAAAAATAAAATAAATTACTTGTGGTTTTTCTTGAGGTCTTTCAAGTTTGAGACAGTTGTGTGCTCCACAAGCTCTTGTCTTTCAACACATTGAATGGTCACTTCAGCAACCACCCCAAGGCCTCCAAGACCACAGCGAGCTAAATAAAATAATACCGGGTCTTTCTCTTTCGAAAGCTCTATTGTTCCCTTGGCAGGAGTAACAAGTTTCATGCTAACGATCTGTTCGTCAATGGGAGGCAATTTTGCTCCAGTACCATGAGCACCAACCTGAAGACGAGAAGAAGAAAAGGGTGAATGTCGGATCAAAGGAGTTAAAAAGGACACATCTTCATACAATTCACTTCATCAATAATGAAACAAGCTTGACTCCCTGACTTTCCATTTCATCCAAAATTCACAGGTATATTGTAAGTTGTCACTGAACAGCCCTATACAATATAAAATATAACAAAATTTATGACAAACTGAAGACTTGGACGCTGACCAAACACCATTAATGTGATCCAAGCAACTAAATCTGTGAAAACATTTTCTTTCATTGTGCTTATATACTATTATCCATAACACAGGTAAATGAACTATAAAGCATGGGGGGGGGGGAACCTGAAGAATGCCACCAATCTGCTGCTCTCTAATGGAAGCAAAGTTCTGAAGAGTTAGACCATAATCCTTAATCTCATCGACCAATTGCTGCACTCTTATCCCCGCTTGAACCCTCACCCTCTTATTATCCTTATCCACCTCCAACACCTTATCCATCAACGCCAAGTTCACCATCCCTCCACGGGCCAACCCGATCCCATTCGGGGACAACCCAGACCCGACGGGCCGGAGCTTCGCCCGCTTCTCGTTCGACTCCTTGACCAGCTCCTCCAGCTGCTTCAGATTCTCGGGCTGATGGAAATGCCGGGTCTGCACCTCGTGTGTCCCGCTCCAGTTGGACACCGTGTGGAGGTCCTCGGGCAGCGGCGCGTAGCGGAAGAGCTGGGCCTTCTTGTGCTTGGCGTTCTCCGGGAACGGGAAGGAGTAGTAAGTGGCGGCGCCGCAGAAGACGAGGAGGGCGGTGTAGCCGAGGTACTTGCGCAGCTCGGATTCGGAGGAGGAAGAAGGGGAGGTTGAGAGAGTGCGGATTGAGGAGAAGGGGAGCGGAAACGGCAGCGGCGGTCGTTGGGGGCAGTGGGCGAGAGTTTTGATGTGCGTTTGGAGAGAGCGTTTGAGGGAAAAAGATCGAAACATGGCGGAAAAAGAAGGTCCCGAGGATGAATCAGTGTAAAGGAAACTCCGGGTTTTGTTGTTCTCAGATCATTTCATTGAATTATGAAAGGAAGCAGCCGGAAGAAAGGAGCGTACTGTTGTTTTCTGATTTGGATATATCGATAACGATTGTAAAGCTGCGGTTAAGTATCGACCAAATATTGGGTAAATTATGTACTTAACCACTCAATTATTTTCTTAAAATTAAAAATAATTTCACGCCTTAATTTTATTTTCATCATTTAGTATTAAAAATAATTTATTTAAAAAAGTTTCATAAAAAAATAAAAAATATACTCATAAAAATTTATGTTAAAATAGAAACTATTAGAATTATGTGATTTTAATTCTTTTCGATTAGGTTTAAGATAATGAATAAGAATTTATACATCAATAACACATCAAATATATATTTGTTATTAATATAGAATAAATATAAGATCATATCTATTTAAAGATAATTCTTAATCATTTGACATTGAACATTCATATCTCTTATATTTATAATGTTTGAATCCGAGACTTTAATAAATAACGACAATTCATTTACTTTCGATGTCATTTAATTTAATCTAATGCGTTTACAAGTGATAGTATATATTCTAAAAACTCATAATCATTTAACAATAAATGTTCATATACCTTACAATCTTTGATTCGTACATAAACTCAAATACTAAACTCGCTATTTATAATATATCTTTATATAAATTGTTAAATGCATAAAAGTACAAGAACGATCAATACATTAGAGAGTTAATTGTATCATATATCTTCAAACTATGATCCTTGTTTTAAATTGCCCCTAAACTTTTGAATATTTCAATTTCATACTCAAACTATGATACTTATTCTAAATTGGTCTCTAAACTTTTAAATCTTCCAATTTCATCCCTAAATTCATCCAAATATATGGTTATTGGATTTCTCAGACTCTTTTGTAGAGTATAAAGCCCAGGGGGTCTTTGATTACTGTTTAGGCTTATTGTGGTCACACAAGGCAGCAATGACCAAGCACCCTAAGCCTTTCAAGTTCTTCAATTGTTGGACTAGCCATGATAGATTCCTGGTTATTGTTAGAGACTCCTGGCAGAGACAATGTTGGCAGCAATGACACAAGGCTCTCTTCAAACAAGGGAAGGATATGAGCCCAGGTCCTGATGGCTACACTACTGGCTTCTTCAAAGCTGCCTGGAGCATTGTTGGCAGTGATTTCACTTCTGCTGTGAGGTATTTCTTCCATACTTCCTGCTTACTGCCTGCCTTTGTTAGTTTTTTCGGAAGCTCAAATCGACAACCGGAATAATTTGCAAAGAGGGGTCGGAACGGTTTTGTGTTTAGGGAGTAAGGAGATTGAAAAATAGAGAATTACACATCGATTTATAGTGGTTCGACTTTATCAACCAAAGTCTACGTCCACTACCTTAGCTCCTCACCAAGGATTTTCCAACAAATTCACTAATTTGTTCTTTCTTTTGAGGATAAAGAGTAACCTTACAAACTCCCTAGTTTTTTCGGGCTAAACTAAAACCTTTACCTAGCTTTTACACGGGCTAAGCTAGAACCTTTCCCCTTTACAAAAGGATAAAAGATGTAAACAATAAAACCTCTCTAAGGTAGGTGTTTACAAGAATTAAGCTCACATGAAAACAAAATATTTACAAGAGAAAGATGAAATAAGAATGAAAAACTCTTCTCTTGTGTTTGATCGCTTGGATATTGTTCTCTTTTTTTACTTCTTCAAGTGTCCTAAGCTTGTATTTATAGTTTGGAATGTGTTTGAAGTCATATCTAGCCGTTGGGGATATTTTGGAGCCGTTTGGGAATGATTTTTCTGTAAAAATAGGCTGCCCAGAATGGGGGGAATCGGTACCCCTTCATAGGGAATCGATACCCCTTTATAATATTCAAATATTATGACCGTTGGGCTGAATTACTGTTCATAAAAACATTTTTGTGCTCAATTTTAAATTAAAAGAACTTTGAATTATTTTTGTAAATTTTGAATAAATTCAATTAAGTCCAAATACATTTTGTAAATTCAATTCAAGTCCAAAAACCATTTTGTAAATTCAATTCAAGTCCAAAAACTATTTTGCCTTAAATTGTTATATCGAAACATAGTTCAATAGCCTTCAATTCCACAGCCCTAGTTTTGGTCCCTAAATCCCCAAATACTACCTTAACTAAGGAATTTAAACCTATTTCTTGCTGCTCAGTTGTATATAAAACTATCACCAGAATTCTTGTTGATAGACTTACCCCTTATTTCCATGACCTGATTTCTTACAATCAATCAGCTTTTTTCAAGGGTAGAAACATAGTTGAAAATACCCTGTTAGCTCAGGAAATAGTGAAGGGTTATTCTAGGAAAAATCTTTCTCCTAGATGTACTATAAAAATTGACTTGCAAAAGGCTTTTGATTCTGTTGATTGAAATTTCTTGCTGTCTGTTCTTGAGGCAATGGGGTTGCCTGATGTGTTTTGTAATTGGATCAAGGCTTGTATTACCACCCCTATGTACTGTGTTTGCTTGAATAGTAGTTTAGTGGGGTATTTTAAAGGGGCTAGGGGGATTAGACAAGGGGATCCTCTATCCCCTTATCTTTTTGTTATTGTAATGAATGTCCTGTCCTCCCTATTGAATGTTGCTGCCAATAGAGGAATTTTTAGATTCCATCCTAAGTGCAAGAGAGTCTCTCTCACTCACCTTTGCTTCACGGATAATCTGTTAGTCTTTTGCCATGGTTTTCTTGAGTATGTGTTGGGAGTGCAGAGCACTTTAGAGGTTTTCTATGAACTGTCAGGATTAAAGCTAAATGCATTGAAGACATAATTTTTTGCCTGTGGCTTAAACATAAACACTCTTGATCTGATCCAGAAAGCTACTGGATTTAAGATTGCGCAGCTCCCTGTTAGGTATCTTGGAGTACCCCTTGTTACTCGTAAACTCACAGGGAAGGACTGCTCTGCTCACTTGGAACGTATTAAAGGTAAACTAGCTCATTGGTCTAGCAAAAAGCTCAGCTTTGGGGGCAGGCTACAGTTGGTGAAAACTATCATGTTCAGTATTTTTAATTTATGGAGCAGGCAGCTTGTTCTCCCCAAGGGGATCATCAATGTGTCACAACCGTCTTTCGATTGGGCCCGAAATTAGGCTTCGACTTAGGAAAATGGATTGGAGTCGCCACCGATCATTTATTTAAAAAAAATGGGTTGATTGGATACCCTATTTCTTACCTGATCTGTGTCTTTCCAAAGATGTGTTGGGTTCGGGAGTCGATTACGGTCAAGGAAGGATTAGCACCCTTGAACCACCCTTTCGGTACTACGTAATTTCCAGTTGTCTTTGATTAAGAAAATTGCAAGTTAAATTAAAAGTAAAATTTGATCCGAATTACTTACCCTTAATGAGTTTACGGAAATACCCTTAAAAAGTCATAAGATGTGTTAGAGGAAAAAAATGAATAAATGAAAAAAAATGAAGAATAAAAATAAGTAAAAAAATAAAAGGGAAAATAAATAAATAAATAAATGAAATATATATATATATATATATATATATATAAATGAGTAAAATAGAAAAAATAATAATCATAACAATAATGATAGTAATACGAAAATATAATATAATATAAACAAAAATATATATATAAACCAAATATAAAAGTATACATATAATGATAATTGACTTATAAATAAACTATTAAAAACATACATATATACGTATAATGATAAAGTAAAAAAAATCAAATAAAGATAATTACAATATATATATATATATATATATATATATATATATATATATATATAGTAATACACTTATAAGTAAAATATTTAAAAAAAAGTATATATATATATATATATATATAAATAATAAATATAGTATTAAAAAATAACCAAATGAATATAAATAAATAAAAAATATATGTATATATAATAATAATATATAGTGTAAAAAAATCAATTGAAAATCATTTAAAAAAATATATGTATATATATTTATATAATGACAATAATGTAAATAATAAATAAATAAAAATATCTATACAATAAATAAAAGGACTAATATAAAGAAAAATAAAGATTGGGGCCAAATTTGAAAGACAATTAACGTTGATATTGCGTATTAGGAGATAAAAAATGAACACGCCTCGGGGTAGATCTAGGTTCGAAACTTCGAAACCCCACCCATTTTTGGTCATCGGCACAACCCACGTTTTGGGTTATTCGAACCAAATCTCAAGAAAAATAACGTGCACATGCGAGAAATGAACGAATAAAAAAAAAGAAAAAAAAAAGATGCTACCTTTTATTTCCTTTTCGAATCGTTTACAATAGCTTTGTCTTTGTATTTTTCGTGCTTTCCTCTGTATTTTGTCTGTAAATCGTGTGTTACAATAGTGAGTTACAATGGCTATTTATAGTGCTTGTGGATCCTATCTTTAGGAGTTTAAATCATAGTAGAACTCTATCATATTTTTAGGAGTTTGAATCCTAGCAAAATTCTATCATATTTTTAGGAGTTTGAATCCTAGTATGACGAAAATGTGTGTTGACAGCTGCCCCTCTTTGCCCATAGTCGTGTAACGGGGATAGGGAAAAGATTGAAAGACATACTTTTCATTCGGTGGAGTTGAAAATTGACTCTGATGTTTCAATAACTCCCTGTCAAATTGAGTTACGGATGACTCCTCCGTCGTGAAACCGAGTTCATCTTGAAATGATATGAAATTAAAGTCGTAGTTCAGAATTTGAATCAGCACGTGGCTTCTCGTTGCCCTTCGGTCTTCTTCTCGGTTTAAAGACCTTGAATCGGAATCGAACTTAGAAATCTTCATTGACAGATAGCTTTTGCTTGAAAATGGTTGCTTGTCACTAAGGCACGGTTAACCCAGGTCCTCTTCTCGACTTGAAAACCTCGACTGCAACCGGAAAGTAGTGCGATTGATGTGTCATCGAGCTGAATGGAATCGAAATCGACAATTTTGATGGCAGATAACCCTTCTAGCCTTGAGTTATGCTGAAAATGATGTGCCTTGGAGCTGAGCATAGTCGAACTCGAAGGTCTTTGTTGACAGATACTCCTTCTTTGAGTTGGATATCCTTCGTCATGAAGTTGAAATCCAATCTAAAGATGGATGATGCTTGTGTGCACGATTCCATTCGTCGTGAAGTTGAAACCGCGGGTGGCCCCTTCGTCGTGAAGTTGAGCCTGAAATTGGATATCCTTCGTTGTGAAGTTGAAATCCAAGTAAGTAGCATTGTTCCGAGTCCAATATCCTCTGTCGTGAAGTTGAAATTGGCTCTGGAACCAGGAAATTGTTTGTTGACAACCAGTCGTCCCTTCGTTGTGAAGTTGAACTTGTGTTGTCTCGAGTCCAATATCCTTCGCTGTGAAGTTGAAATTGACTCTGAATGAAATTTTGTTGACAATCAATCGCCCCTTCGTCGTGAAGTTGAGCTTGTGTTGTCTTGGGTATCTTTCGCTGAGAAGTTGAAATTGGCTCTGAAATTGGGAAGTTGTTTATTGACAACCAGCGGTCCCTTCGTCGTGAAGTTGAACTTGCGTTGTCTTGAGTCCAATATCCTACGCTGTGAAGTTGAAATTGGCTCTGAAATTGGGAAATTATTTATTGACAACCAGCGGTCCCTTCGTCGTGAAGTTGAACTTGCGTTAACTGGAGTCCAATATCCTTCGTTGTGAAGTTGAAATTAGCTCTGAAATTAAGATGTTGTTTGTTGACAACCAGCGGTCCCTTCGTCGTGAAGTTGAACTTGCGTTGTCTGGAGTCTAATATCCTTCACTGTGAAATTGAAATTGGCTCTGAAATTGGGAAGTTGTTTATTGACAACCAGTGGTCCCTTCGTCGTGAAGTTGAACTTGTGTTGTCATGAGTCCAATATCCTTCACTGTGAAGTTGAAATTGGCTCTAAAATTGGGAAATTGTTTGTTGACAACCAGCGGTCCCTTCGTCGTGAAGTTGAACTTGCGTTGTCTGGAGTCCAATATCCTTCGTTGTGAAGTTGAAATTGGCTCTGAAATTGAGAAGTTGTTTGTTAACAACCAGCGGTCCCTTCGTCGTGAAGTTGAACTTGCGTTGTCTGGAGTCCAATATCATTCGCTGTGAAGTTGAAATTGGCTCTGAAATTGGGAAGTTATTTATTGACAACCAGCGGTCCCTTCGTCGTGAAGTTGAACTTGCGTTGTCTTGAGTCCAATATCCTACGTTGTGAAGTTGAAATTGGCTCTGAAATTGGGAAATTGTTTATTGACAACCAGCGGTCCCTTCGTCGTGAAGTTGAACTTGCGTTGTTTGGGGTCCAATATCCTTCGTTGTAAAGTTGAAATTGGCTCTGAAATTGAGAAGTTGTTTGTTGACAACCAGCGGTCCCTTCGTCGTGAAGTTGAACTTACGTTGTCTTGAGTCCAATATCCCTCACTGTGAAGTTGAAATTGGGAAATTGTTTATTGACAACCAACGTTCCCTTCGTCGTGAAGTTGAACTTGCGTTGTATGGAGTCCAATATCCTTCGTTGTGAAGTTGAAATTGGCTCTGAAATTGAGAAGTTGTTTGTTGACAACCAGCGGTCCCTTCGTCATGAAGTTAAACTTGCGTTGTCTGGAGTCCAATATCCTTCGCTGTGAAGTTGAAATTGGCTATGAAATTGAGAAGTTGTTTATTGACAACCAGCAGTCCCTTCGTCGTGAAGTTGAACTTGCGTTGTCTGGAGTTCAATATCCTTCGTTGTGAAGTTGAAATTGGCTCTGAAATTGGGAAATTATTTATTGACAACCAACGATCCCTTCGTCATGAAGTTGAACTTACGTTGTCTGGAGTTCAATATCCTTCGTTGTGAACTTGAAATTGGCTCCGAAATTGGAAAATTATTGTTGACAACTAGTCGTCCCTTCGTTGTGAAGTTGAACTTGTGTTGTCTTGAGTGGCACGATATCCTCCGTCGTGGATTTGAAATCGTGGATGTTTGGCTTCGAGCTAGATATTCTTCGTTGTCAAGTTGAAATTTTGTAACATCCCAAAATACGGGGTAGTGACTAAATTGTAAAACTTCAGAATGTGTTGATTAAAGTAAGATATTTAAATAGTGTAATGATTTGTTCGGAAATATTTCCTGAAAATAATTAGTAATTATCAAAGGAATTAAGGGGTAAAATGGTCATTTATCATGAAAGATATTTTTATCTCTTTATGAAGAGATAAACGTTGGGGGAAGTATTTAGAAAACTCTTATTCTTCTTACCTTCTTCTTCTCCAACGTGTAGAGCATAAGGTGAGTTTTCTATTTTTTGGTTATTTGTTAAATTGAAGATTAGGTTTTGATCATTAGATGATAACTAAGCTTAAGGAAAGCTTAAGTTGTCTTATAATCAAAAGATGAAGAAGTTATAAGAGATTTAAGAAAACGAGTTTTTATATGAAATCATGGAAAATAGTCGATATGTTGAATTTGAAGTTAAATTTGACTTGTCATCATGCTAATTAAGGAATATGAAGTGTTAGAATTGTATTTAGAACATATTGAAATTTGAGTATGATTCTTGAATTGTAACATCCTCAATACCGGGTTAGTGACCAAATTGTAAAGTTTCAGAATTTGGTGACTAAAGTAGAAGAATAAAAGAATTTAATGATTATTTGAATATATATATATATATTGAAGGTTATTTGGTAATTATGGAAGAATTGAAAGGGTATTATGGTCTTTTTATGTAAAAGATAATTATCTCTTATTTAAAGAGATAAGCTGATGGGTAAGGAAGTATCTACATTCTTCTTCCTTCTTCTTCCCGTGGGTTACTTCATAAAGGTAAGTTTAATTTTAGTTGGTTAATTCTTTCGTTTTAAAGCTTGTTTTGACTCTTGGGATATTAAGAAAGATTAAGGAAAGCTTTAGGGGGCTTAAACCTCAAAGATTAACAAGTTATGAGAAATTAAGAAAAATAAGTTTTTAAGTGAATTTTTGATATGGA